GACTGTCTACAGCTGCATGGTGTGGCTCCAAGCGCAAGGTCCTCATTAGTCTGGCTAGTTCCCCTCTTGGATCCATGTTGTAGTTTAATAAATCTAGCAGGAATCCACACAGGTTTAGGGAAATTTTCTGGAAATATACAAGCATACCCTCAACCAAAGGTTAATAATGGATGAGGTCCCTTCCATAAGCCAGATTCAAGATCTTTCCATTTAACTAGACCAGCCGTGGGCAAACTACGGCCCGCGGGCCGGAAATGAATAAAACTAAAAAAAAAAAAAAAAAAAGACCGTACCCTTTTATGTAATGATGTTTACTTTGAATTTATATTAGTTCACACAAACACTCCATCCATGCTTTTGTTCCGGCCCTCTGGTCCAGTTTAAGAACCCATTGTGGCCCTCAAGTCAAAAAGTTTGCCCACCCCTGAACTAGACCATTTTCCTTTGTTTTATTTTGACACCAGTGTAACTCCATGGGTGTCTTGCCATCATCACAAGTGAAAAAATTTAAGGTAATTAAGGCTTGGTGCAGCCTTCCCACAGGTGATTTCTCCATCATTATCCCCCCATTTTGTTTTTCAGGTTGGGATTTTAGTCGCTGATGCTGTCGTTCAATAATGGCCTGTCCTTGGGAATTATATGGTATTCCTGTAATGTGCTGAATTTTCCACTTTTTACAAAATTGCTGGAAATGACAGCTTGTGTAAGCAGGCCCATTATCAGTTTTAATAATTTTTGGAATTCCCATGACAGCAAAAGCAGCTAGGCAATGATTAATAACCTGTTTTGCTGTCTCAGGTGTAGATGCAGTAGCCCAAAGGACTTTTGAAAAGGTGTCTACAGAGACATGCAATGCCCCAAGGCGTCTAAAGGACGTATAATGTGTCACATTCATTTGCCAGATATGGTCCCTTAGCAAACCTCTAGGGTTGACTCCTGTGTTAGGCTCTTGAGGTAGATGTAACATGCAAGTGGGACATTCTCTGAGAATCTGTTTTGCCTGCTGGCGAGAGATTGAGAATTGTCTAGACAACATTTTGGCAGGCTGATGTAAAAGCTGATGAGATTCTGAGGCCTGTTTTAATAAAGCTACCAATTGATCAGCATGTGCATTTCCTTTTGCCAAAGGGCCGGGTAATAAACTGTGAGACCTTATGTGAGTAATATAGAAAGGATATTGTCTTTGTTGCACAATCTGCTGAACTTGTTTAAATAGTAAAAACAAACTTTGGTCACTAAGCCATTTTAAGCGAGCAGTTTCAATTCTATTTAATAAACCTGCAGCGTAAAAAGAATCCGAGATAATATTAAGAGGTTCCTGCAATTCTTGTAATGCAGCCTTAATAGCTTCTAACTCAATTCTTTGTACAGAAGTATGACTAGTTTGGATGACTCGGTCTAAATTCATTGTATGATAAGCAGCTTTGCCATTTGATGATCCATCAGTAAAAACAGTCAATGCTTCAGGAATAGGTTCCTGTCTAGTATTTTTTGGTATAATAATAGGAGCATAATACAAAAATTGTAATAATTTGTCTTTTAGTAGGTGACAATTAAGATCCCCTGAATATCCACTCAGTCCAATTTGCCAATTTAAATCAGTCTGAAATAACATTTCTAATTGCTTCCCAGTAAGAGGAAGGTAAATACATTGGGGTGAGGAAAGATTAGAGTCACCTCTAAGTATATTAAATAAATTTGTCATTTCTCCTGTAGAGATTTTTAGATAAGGTCTTAACCAATTAATGTCCTCTAACAACTTTTAAAAGTCATTTAAGGTTTTAAGGCAGTCTTTTCTTATTTGATTTAATTTCTCCTTGATTAATGGCCACTGATCCGCCCATATAGGCCTATTATCTTTCCATTGTATAGGCTCAGCATGGGGGTGAGGAGATTGAGCAGTGACCACTCCTAAAAAGGCTGATATTCTAATTCTTGTTTTCCTTGGCCTGAATGGGTTCTTTAATCTCCTGATTTTCTTTTCCTACACCTTGATCAGCTTGATATCCTATCTGAGTTACTAACTGTTGATTTTTGCCAGTAATAATACAAGCTTGTAAACCTTCTAAAATGCCTGTCCCCATAAGTTGACTGCAATTCCAGAGATGATATAAGGCTGAAACCATCCTGTTTGTCCTTCCTCATCTTTCCACTTTAACACTGCAGCGCTGCGTGTTATCAGGAATTCCAACACCCATGATAGAGCCCATAGCTTCTGCCATGGACCAACTTGGAGGCCAGAATTCTTGACTGATGACACTAATATCTGCTCCAGTATCTACTAGACCTTTAAACATTTTTTCCTTCTATTTTTAGATTAATCATAGGACGGGTCTTGCTAATTTCCTGTATCCAATATATATCTGAGCTTCCAAATCCTTGTGTCCTTCTCTTCCTATTTATAACTTCACCTTGCTGAATATAAGGTAAAAGCAAAAGCTGAGCAATTTTTTGTCCTGGAATAATTTGCATAATATGTTTGCATTCTAGAATTACTTTGATTTCTCCTTATATTCTGAATCTATGACTCCAGGAAAAACAGTTAGTCCTTTTAGCGTATTTTCGCTCTTTCCTAGGACTAAACCTGATATTCCTGATGGCACAGGTCCCCAAATTCCTGTAGGAACAGCTTGTCTAGCCATATGGGGATCAGGGTGATTGTTATTGTGCTATTAAGATCAAAGTTAGCATTTCTTTCTGGAGTGACTTGAAGGAGGGAATCTATTGTGGTTCTGGCAGGGTGGAACTTCCCCTTATTTAATAATGGGGGCTGGGGGGAGCCCCTCAGGCCGTTTCCCTGCGGCTGGCCATTTCCTATGTCTTGATTTAATGGCTGGCCATTTCTATGAAATTTAGATCTACATTGATTGGCCCAATGACTCTCCTTCTTACATCTGGGACATAGACCTGCATTACCTGAGTTGGGAGGCGGAATGTTTATGCCTTCTCCCTGAGCGTCATTTTTTGGTTGCTTATACTCCTTTTTAAAATGTCCTTGCTGCCGAAACCGGTTTGGCTCAGTGGATAGAGCGTCGGCCTGCGGACTGGAAGGTCCCAGGTTCGATTCCGGTCAAGGGCATGTACCTGGGTTGCGGGCACATCTCCAGTAGGAGATATGCAGGAGGCGGCTGATCGATGTTTCTCTCTCATCGATGTTTCTGACTATCTCTCTCCCTTCCTCTCTGTAAAAAATCAATAAAATATATTTTTTAAAAAAATGTCCTTGTTGCCCACAATTGAAACATAATTTGTTTCTTGTTGTAATTGCAGCAGCTAGTAAGCTTGCCTGAAAAAATGCCTGACCCTACAATCTGACATGCTCGAATCATTTCTGTAATGGTACTATTTTTTCTTAGAGGCATTAAACATTTCTTACAATCAGCATTTGCATTTTCATAAGCTAATTGCTGAGTCAAAATATCTCCTGCTGCCTCATGTTGAATCTGCCTTCTCACTGCTCGAGTGAGGCGAGCTACAAAATCAGAGAATAATTCAGTGGGACCCTGCATACACTTACTAAAGGCTTTTTCAGGTTCCCCTTTTGCTGGTAAAGTCCACCAGGCTTTTCGTCCGCAAAGTCTAATTTGCTCATACGCCTGCTGGACGTATTGGAGCTGATTTTGAACATCACTAAATTGTCCCTGTCCTGCAAGCATCTCAAAAGTTATGGGCCTGAGATTTGAAGAAGCTTGCTCTTAACATTTCTCTAAAAATTCTCCTTTCCAGAGCAAATAATCTCCTCCATCCAGAGTTGCACAGGCTAGAGAATACCAATCATAAGGAGCTAGGAACGCTTCAGAAATATTACTTATAATTTCTCCAGTAAATGGAGCATTTGCATCATTCTGTATTACACTATCACGCAAGGCCTTTATCATTTTAAAGTCAAATCTTTCATGCTGTCTTATTATTTGATTTGGGAATTGTGGATTAGCTATCTGTATAATAGGAAAAGCAAGTCTATCTTCTACTGTGATGTCCTTTAATCCTTTTCTGATGGCTTTTTGCATAGGTGATTCTGTTAGTGGCGATTTAAATGTTTCAGAATCAGGATATGAAGGCCACTCTTCCAATTTATCTTTCTGCTTCTCTTTAGGAGCGGAGGGTGCAAGGGGAGGAGGTCTTTCTTCTTTAAAAGGCTCTAGCAAATGCAATACCGTTTCCCACAAGGAGAAACAATTTGGAGGCAATTTTTTTTCCCTGCTGTTGAGCTTCTTTCAAGTTCTGACCTACCCGTTCCCAACATTCAATATCCAATGTACCCTCATCAGAAAACCATGGATTATATTTTATAATAAACTTTAGAAACTGTAAAACAAGATTTTCTGAAACTGCAACTCCCTTATCCTTTAATGTTGGGGTCCATCCCCAGCAGGTCCAGAGGTTCCCATAGGTGGGGACAGAGTTGGCGAGGAAGGAATGACACGGAGGCAGTGTTCAGGTGATCAGCATAGTTGGGTTCTCTAGCCAGGTTCTCCAGCCAGGTTCTCCAGCCAGGTTCCATGTTTTATTGCTTGTTACAGCTGTATTTATACCAGTTGATTTTAATCCTATCAATTTCTATTCCAAAGGTTAGGACGTTTCTTATCTCCATTCCAGGGAGTAAATGATTATGTAGCTAAAGCGTAATTGTTCATAGTTAAAGTGACTAACTACCCACCTGGCACTTAGTTAAGGGGTTTTATTCCCTCCCTAACTTCAGGGAAAAATCCCCACCTGGGGAAACAACGTTTCTTGGAGAGGTGACCTTGGTTAAAACACATAGCGCTAAGAAGGGGAGCAAACATATTAAGAACAGTATGCTATATACGCCAGGTCCCTTGAAACATATGCTGTGCAGATGTTTCTTCCCTGCAGCGACTGTGTCAAGCAGCAAGGATGGACCGGCTTCCTGCACTTTAATAAGCAAGTCAGAAGTCTATAGGAAAGTCTCTCCTCTCTCGACAAATTCTGCCCCATTTTGATCTGGTTGAAACAAAAGAAATCACTCGAGCACTTACGGATCCGCAGGCTTCCGCAGCTGACATGAGTTTCACACGCAGTTAAACTTCCACCATCAGGTCTGGTGATATGTTTCCGCTCTGGCGAATCCTTTCCCTTCAAGTTCCTTGTTTCGGACGCCAAATGTGAGAGTCCACGGTCAGCGTGGCTTTCGCGGGTTCAAGACTTGGAGGGAGGGCTGACACGCAAATGATACACAAGATGGAATATTAATTTTTATAATTACCGGGGGAACCAGAGAATAACCCAACAAAAGAAGTCCAGTTCTCCCTGTTGCTCTTTTCCCAGCTGCTTTTATTAGCTAGAATACACAATTGCCTTTAGGAATTCAAACAGACATATCAATGGTAATGTTTAGCAAACAGTAAGATTGCCAGGTGTTGGGGGAGTTTGCTTTAAAAGGCCATTGAGCCGAACCGGTTTGGCTCAGTGGATAGAGCGTCGGCCTGCGGACTCAAGGGTCCCAGGTTCGATTCCGGTCAAGGGCATGTACCTTGGTTGCGGGCACATCCCCAGTAGGGGGCGTGCAGGAGGCAGCTGATCGATCTCTCTCATCGATGTTTCTAACTCTCTGTCCCTCTTCCTTCTTCTCTGTAAAAAATCAATAAAATATATTAAAAAAATAAATAAATAAATAAAAAATAAAAAATAAAAGGCCATTGAGTCAGCAGCAGGTAATAAAATGTAGATATTCACCCTGTGAATATCAAAAGGAGTCCTGGTCAGCCTTCTGCCAGACTCCTCACATTTATATCAATTACTGTTCATCTTGGTCTCCAGCAGACAGGAATGCCCACTCTCACCACTCCTGTTCAACAGAGTACTAGGAAGTATTAGCCATTGCGATTAGATAAGAAGAAGAAATAAAAGGCATCCAAAGAGGAAATGAAGAAGTAAATCTGTCCTTATTCGCAGATGACATGATATCGTACATAAAAAACCCTAAAGACTCCATCAAAAAACTATTAGACTTAATAAATGAATTCAGCAATGTAGCAGGATACAAAATTAACGCCAAGAAATCTATGGCATTTCTATACACCAATAGTGAACTTACAGAAAGAGAGACTAAAAAAGCAATCCCATTTACCACCACACCAAAATAATTAAGATACCTAGGAATAAATTTAACTAAAGAGGTACAAGTCCTCTACTCAGAAAACTACAGGACGTTGAAAAAAGAGATAGAGGAAGTCATAAACAGATGGAAGAACATACCATGTTCATGGATTGGTAGAATCAACATCATTAAAATGTCCATACTACCCAAAGCAATCTATAAATTCAATGCACTTCCCATTAAAATACCAATGGCATAATTCACAGACCTAGAACGAACTTTCCAAAAATTCATCTGGAATAAAAAAGACGCCGAATAGCTGCAGTGATCCTGAGAAAGAAGAACATTAAGTAGGTGGGATCTCAATACCAGATATCAAGCTGTATTACAAAGCCACTGTTCTCAAAACAGCCTGGTACTGGCACAAGAACAGACATATAGATCAATGGAATAGAATAGAGAACCTAGAAATCGACCCAAACCAATATGCTCAATTAATATTTGACAAAGGAGGCAAGAACATACAATGGAGTCAAGACAGTCTCTTCAATAAATGGTGTTGAGAAAATTGGACAGATACATGCAAAAAAATGAAACTAGACCACCAACTTACACCATACACAAAAATAAACTCAAAATGGATAAAGGACTTAAATATAAGATGGGAAACCATAAAAATACTAGAGGAATCCAAAGGCCACAAAATCTCAGACATATGCCGAAGCAATTTCTTCACCGATACAGCTCCTAGGGCATTGGAAACTAAACAGGAAATAAACAAATGGGACTACATCAAAATAAAAAGCTTCTGCACAGCAAAAGAAACCATCAACAAAACAACAAGAAAGTCCACTGCATGGGAGAACATATTTGCCAATGTTATCAGCGATAAGGGTTTAATCTCCAACATTTACAGGGAACTCATGAAACTTAACAATAGTAAGATAAACAATCCAATCAAAAAATGGGCAACGGACCTAGATAGACACTTTTCGAAAGAGGACATACAGAAGGCCGAAAGACATATGAAAACATGCTCAAAGTCACTAATTATACGAGAGATGCAAATCAAAACAACAATGCGGTATCATCTCACACCTGCCAGAATGACTATCATCAACAAATCAACAAACAACAAGTGTTGGACAGGATGTGAAGAAAAAGGAACCCTTCTGCACTGCTGGTGGGAATGCAGACCCTTGCAGCCACTGTGGAAAACAGTATGGAGTTTCCTCAAAAAACTAAAAATGGAACTCCCATTTGTCCCAGTGATCCCAGTTCTAGGAATATATCCCAAGAAATCAGAAACACCAATCAGTAAGGATATATGCACCCCTATGTTCATAGCAGCACAATTCACCATAGCTAAGATCTGGAAACAGCCTAAGTGCCCATCAGCAGATGAGTGGATTAGAAAACTGTGGTACATCTACACAATGGAATACTATGCTGCGGTAAAAAAGAAGGAACTCTTGCCATTTGCAACAGCATGGATGGAACTGGAGAGCATTATGCTAAGTGAAATAAGCCAGTCAATGAAAGAAAAATACCACATGATCTCACTCATTTATGGATAATAAGACCATTATTAACAGGTGAACAAAAATAGATACAGAGGCAGAGCAGCATCGAACAGACTGTCAAACTACAGCGGGAAGGACGGGGAGGGTTGGGGGGCACGGGGGCGGGGGGGGTAGGAGATCAACTGAAGGACTTGTATGCATGCATATAAGAATAACCAATGGACACGAGACACTGGGGGGTAGGGGAGGCAGGGGGAATGTCAAGGGGCGGGGGGGAAGAAAAAAAAGGAAAAAAAAAACAGCAGAAAACATTAAAAAAAATATCACATGGGGAAAAAAATCTCACAGAACTGGACAGTGCTATTCATCAGGCATGGTGTCAGATTCCTCGCATCACCTTTCAATATCTCATGGAGTCAATGCCAAGAAGAATCGCCGCAATATTGAAGGGAAAAGGTGGCCCAACAAAGTACTGATGGGGTGGTCATAATAATCTGGCCACTCAGTGTATATAAATCCCATGTTCAAAGGCTGTTAAATAGCGTAGTTTACCCATATCTTCAGGGAAAAAAAATCCCTTCTACTATCGTGGTAAACAACCTACTTCCCTATTTATAATGGTCTGGCCCTCTAGCAACTTCAGCGCAAAATTATAGCTAATCTGCCTACAAACGTCAGGTGGTCACAATAATCTGGCCACTCAGTGTGTGTGTATATATATAACTATATTTTTATTGATTTCAGAGAGGAAGGAGAGAGATAGAAACATCAATGATGAGAGAGAATCATCTATCGGCTGCCTCCTGCATGCCCACTTCTAGGGATGAAGCCAGCAACCTGAGCATGTGCCCTTGAGTGGAATCAAACCCAGGACCCTTTAGTCTGCAGACCGACGCTCTATCCACTGAGCCAAACCAGTTAGGGCACAACTTAGACATAATAAAGAGTTAAATTCATCTGTGTGGCTCTTGGTTTCTTTTCAATCATGGATTGGAATTGCCGAGACTATGCTGACTCCTTCAGTGTGTCCAGTTCTCTGAGGAAAGACAGTGCCTGGCTGTGTACTTCTTGGCTCTCTTCATTCTCATGCTTCAAATCTACATTCAGAACTCCTACTCCTCCCATCACCAGGCATAGGAGATCCTTTGTCAGAGCCAGGATCTGAGTCAGGTTCAGGAGAACAAAAGCCAGTGCCTTTATCTGAAACTTTAAGGGTATCACACTGTCTCCTTGATGCTGGGCTTGTTTACAAATGGATATGACCTGCTCATCAGAGATGTCTCTGTCCTTGTCTCCACATCACCTCTCTGGCCCTGCCAGTTATCTTCCATTTAGTCATCAATCCCATCACCTACAGATTTCAAAGGAAACCCAGAGAACATATACCATTTATTCAACAACTACATCTGCATCCTCTTATAGTTCATGCCTGAACTTCAGAAATCATTGAATTCTGAGACTCCATCAAACCAGAAGGTGTTGAGGGGTTTACTGGAATAAGTTATGGACACAAGAATTTAGGGTTTCACTACAGAGTTACCTCCTGTGTGAGAGGGGAGGCTGCAGCGAAGTCCCTGGAGACCATAACTGGGATAGGAGGAGAGGAATATACTATGAGATAGAAGGTGGAAGAATGGAAAGGAAGGGGCGGGATACGGGTCATCTTCCTGAGCAGAGGCAAAGGCATCATTCCAGTTGATAGTGTCTCTCCTCTTCAACTCCATTGCTCCTTCACTTTCTCTCTCTTCAGGTCTAGAAAAATGGCTCTGGAGAAACCCCCATTGGGCCACTGTCCTCTTTCTACTTACTTATTTCTTGACTCTCTGCTGTATGCATGTGTGTATTGGTGCCTATGTGTAAATGCCATTTGAGGGTGTGTATGTTTATGTGAATGCCTCTATGATTGGGCAAATCTTGGGGTAACACAGTATAGGGAAAAGAGTGCTATTTTTATCCCTTCCCTCCCTCTCTTTCCAGTGTTTAAGAGGAACTTTATTGCTTTTATACTCTCATTTCCAGCTTTACCTAGTGTCTTCATTCAGTATCAGCCAAAATGGAAAGCTCACAGCGGGAAAGAAACAGACTGAAGCATGGTGATGTGGATGAGGACACAAGCTGAAGCCATTCCCAGAGGTCCCTGTCTGTATTAAGAAATGACTTCAGGCTGCTAAACGGCCACATCAGAAGTGACTATAGTCTTACCCCTCACCCATTTTTGCCCAAGTATTTTGAAAAATATGCTCCTTCTTGTAGTCCCCAAGAAGAGGCAGGATCCGATTCCCATTTGAGGCCCAGGACTGCCTTCTACCTTCTTCTTTTTCAGAGCAAACAGCAGTACAAAAACCTCCAGAAGGAATAATTTGCCCTCGCCCCCACAAATGTACCAGAAATCCTTAATAGATGTCCCCTACTGGCCCAGGACTTAGGGAGAGCATAGGAGGGGAAGGGGGGGGGGAGGGGAGGAAGCTCAAAGAGCAGAAAGGAAAGGAGAAAACAGGGGAAGAAAAAAACATTCTGAGGTTGACACCTTTTCCCATCCTATCAGCCCTTCTCAGGCAACTTCTCCCCTCACACCTTGCATTAGAGGCCTCCTGA